AATATGCTTCTTGCCATTTTCAGTGAAAGATATTGCTGAACATGCTGACATATGTAATAGCTGGTTACTTGATGACACTTCTCATAAGAAAGAGACAGTACTTAGCAATATTGAGAGCTCTGTAAAAGATGTTATCATTATTATGATTTTGAGCTATCATTATTATCAGAAAAACAAGCACACAAAAGTCCAGAGGAGATAAAATCTGTGTTGAAAGAGTCTATAAAACTTATGAATAATAATATTTTGAAGCAAGACAGAGTAAGAATAAATGTTCGAAGAAAGTTTCTATGGATTGACTTTAAACAAGCACGTCTTACAAAGATCAAACCTGATGACAACTTAAAGGTTGTGTTTATTGGCGAATGTGCGATTGATGATGGAGGACCAAAAAGAGAGTTCTTCACAGGTAAACTTGATGTTTTTTCATATTTAACCTCCACAATCACTGTAAAAACAGTGGTATTTAAAATTATTTATGTTCATTAATGTTGCTTTTGTAGAATTGTTAGAAGCAGGAAAAAGGAAGTTAATGTCTCGTGGATTTCCCAATGATTCCACAATGGCACTGATGGCTAATGACTTCCGACTACTTGGTGAGGCTATGGTTATGTCTGTCATACAGGGTGGTCCAGCTCCAAATTTCTTAAATGAAAGTATATTCAAATATATTGCAAAGCAAGATTTATCTGCAGAAAATTGTCAAAATGAGGCATTTAAATCAGCAGCTATTAAGGTATGAAGTATTTTAGAAGATGACCTAACCTTATTGATCTTTTTCATTCTTATGTTCATTTTTATTGCATAAAGTTTAGTTTTATGTTCTGTATTACAGAAAGTTTAAATTGCTCTTTTTTGTATTTTAGTTATCATCTTGTATAACAGATGATGTACTTCATGAAACCATATTGGCAGACGAGATATTAGATGTTTTGCAGAATGTTAGATACACCGGTGTGCCTCAAAAAGAAAGCATCAAATCATCCAAAGACATAGTGCAGTATGTGTAATTTTTTTATTCTGCTAATATTTTTTTATCTAAAATTGCTTTCAAAAGTACTTCATCTTAGTATTAATGTATCAATGTACTTTCAATTGGCATCGTGTAAAAAATCAAAGTAACCTTCATTCTCATACACCCCTGGGAGTGGCTGCTGGAAAACACTCCTGCTACATAATCATAGCATGATAGTCATAACTACATCAGGAGTTAAAAATGACGAATTTTTTTGAAAAATTGTTTACTCTCCACTCTTGCATAAATGGGTTGCTAGCTTAGTGTGTGCTGCTCACTTAGAGGAAAATAACCCCTTTTTATTTGCCTCTGCTCACATGCATTAATTGCTTTTGATTTGTTCTTTTTCACTAGATCTATTTGTATAAAAGATCAAATCTCTAACAGCGTAGCCCAGCTGCAACAACTTCAAGAAGGCTTGTCTAACTGTAATCTTCTTGACGCGATAAGAAAACAGCCACATGTATGGAAGGCAGTGTTTGTGCCGAGTGATATTTTCAAGTTTACTGCTGATGAGTTTCTTGACCATCTGCAACCTCAATATAGTAGCTTTCAAGCTTTGAAGATGAAGGAAGTGGATACCTTTAAATTCTTCAATGATGTAATACAAAAGTTTGAAGATGGTAAGGATACCAATATAAGCACATAAGGCTTATAAGGATACCAATATATATTGGTAAGGATACCAATATAAGCATATAAGGCTTATAAGGCTTACATAAACAATATGTTAGCTTACATATACAATAAGGCTTACATAAACAGTGCAGGAACACAATATGTATAGTGCACATATAAATTGTATTCTAGAGTAAAAATAAGATATTCTACAGCATGTTTCATCCGTGCAGAAGTTGCTAGCTTAAAGGATAACAAAATAAGTTTAATGGTGATGTTATAGATCCATTTCGATGTTTTGAAGAGAAAATTTACCAAATTCAGGTGCATCGATCACGCTTTCATTACCAAAACTCTGCAACACAACAATCAGCTCATTAACAAATAAATTAATTCAGATATGATCTTGCAGTTAGCTGGACAATTTCAATGTTCAGGACTGAAAATATCAGGTGACTCAACGGGATTCGAACCCATGAGGTGCCGGTGCAGTGCTCTGACCACTGATATGAAGTCACACAGTGGTAAGGTCAATATTTCATATTTTCTCGTGAAATGAATGTCATATGAATATGTTTATGATTTTCATATTTGATTTTAAATCGTCTCATCGAATGCTGAGTCACCATATTTTCAGTCCTAGGATTGCTTAAATGTCCAGCTAAGATCATATTCATTCTAATTTCAACACACTATAAACATTCAAATAAAGTTGCAATGTTATATGTGCGGTGCAATTTTATTTAAACATCTACAGCGTGTGTTATAAGCTATGTTTTGCCACTGAGTAATAATGTTAATGCATTTCAGGTTTGCAAAATTTAACTATGACAGATTTCCTGCAATGGTGCAGTGGCTCCAAGGAAGTACCGCCGTTAGGTTTTCCCAATAAGTTCAATGTTGCTTTCATCCATGGTTGCAAAGATTGCTGCAAATGTAGACCATCTACGTCACCATGTGACTTGCTGGTAAGTTACCTGTTCATATAGCTTCGGAATGTGAAATGGAAGAATTAATGGTTTCTGCCATTGGGGATTCGTGTGATTTTGGACTTATCTGAAAAGCAGATCTGACAATTGAAACTAATACTTTAATCGACTTGATCATTGCGAAATCGTTTTGTTGATGTTATGGTTATTCGCTTACACTCTAGTGTGTTATGAGAGGCGTATGTACGTAAACAACATTTACAGCAAAAGTCAAACGTCGTGCCTGGTTTGTCCATGACGTGAAACTCATGTTTTTTTTTGTCGATTTTTCCGTTAACATTTAATCCTTATCATTAGCAGCTTCTACTAAGCATTGAAATAGTGCTAATGCTTCAGTTGCATTATTTGGAAGACGTAGTCCTTTTATTTCCATTACATGTTCGAAATACTCTTTGTAGTCATTTAGTCCTTCTTCCATCTCACATTCTTCCTCCATTTCGTTAATTTTGTCTGTTGGCACTTGGACAATGTAGTCAGCTCCACCAGTTAATTCTGGTAAAAAGTAAAGAAGATTTGGCACGCCAGGTATAGTATCATATCGCGAACGTCGGATATAGTGAGTGTTCCAGTGGTCAATTATATCATTGAGTTCATTTTGTAGCACAGATTGGAAACAAAACCAGAGGCACTCCATGTGAATTAAGTTTCCAAGAAGAACAACCCCATCGTGAACTAGACCTTTAAAAAAATTAATCCACCAGTTGCTTCGACTACGACGAAAGTACGACCACCAATTTTCTATCCTCTGGTTTGCGTGAGAAGAACCATAGCGATGAGCATTCTCTCCTGCCAAGTCATCTGTCCCATTATCTCTAAAATAACATTGCATTGAAGCCGCCAATCCATTCTCTGTGCCACAGTCACTCCATAATAGAAGTGGACATCCGAGGTTTTCTTTTACACTTTTAAGAAAAAGATTTGCAGGCACTTTTGGGTCGTTGTTGGATTTTACCACTTCAAGCCAAATTATCCGTCGGCTGTAACCATCTATAGCCCCATGAATAGGGAATCCATAGGGCTTAAATTTGTCATAGCCTGTAACAATTAGCAATGGTGTGATTAATATGAAATAAAACATTATGTTATGTTTTATAACCAATCAAAACAGGCAAACCAAATAAATCAACGTAGCCATCTTTTGTACTTTAGTAAATTTCAATTTTCCTACCGTCCATGTGCCAGCAAAAGTTTGGACCGTATGATCGATATACTCGTCGTTGGAGACAGTGAGTTTTCCTTTGCTGGACACCTTGTGGATCAATTTCCTTCATTATTAATGCCACTTTTTTACGTGAAACGTGTACGTGGAATCGATGACGCAGGGTATGCCAGATTGTTCGATATCCTGACAAGCTTCCAGCATCATTTATTAGCTGACTAATAGTTTCTTTTAGCCCATCGTCATCAATACAATCATCACTTTTTCGTTTTTTGAAACCATATTCTCTGAGTTTTCTTTTTAAAGTTCTACAACACATTTTTACGGCATGATGCTTGTCTAGAAGTAAAACTATTTCGTTGTATTTATATCCTGAATAAAAATAATTTTCTATTAAAGTCCTTAAATCGTTTTCGTTATCTTCAGCAGCCATTTTTATTATTTATTCAGCAGCATACGACAATTGCAAATCGCAGCAACGGACTTAACTTGCAGCAACAGACTTAACTTGCAGCAACAGACTTAACTTGCAGCAACAGACTTAACTTGCAGCAACCGACTTAATTTGCAGCAACAGACTTAACTTGCAGCAATCGACTTAATTTGCAGCAACAGACTTAACTTGCAGCAACCGACTTAATTTGCAGCAACAGACTTAACTTGCAGCAACCGACTTAATTTGCAGCAACAGACTTGACTTGCAGCAACCGACTTAATTGGCGTCATCTGCCTTATGTAAGTTGCATGTCCCTTGGGCCACCGTACGATAGGGAACAATGCAAACAACATGAGTGGAACGGAAGTAGAGAGAGCAGAGAACGGAAGTGAGAGGGGCGAGACAAGGGAGAGAAGCGAGGTACTTTAAGGAATAAGAATAAAAATTGTTTAAGAAACCAAAATTGTTATTGTGATTATTCTTCGTGTTCCGAACATTGGGACGGAGGTCAATTTTCGGAATATGACAATCCCCGAAACACGACCATCGCCCATCCTGAAGTATTTAAAATAAAAAGGAAACACCGTCACATGTTTGGCTGCTGGTTCATATGAACCTGGGCTCATAAGAGTACGATCACCATAAACGATCTTGTTGAACAACTGTCACAAACTTGCAGGGAAGAACAGGAGATCTTACCTTATAAATTTCAGGAGCAATAGCTGATAACCAAATACCCATAGAGACATCCTCCCCGTTTACACAAGAAAGAAAATAAACATGTGTCAATATCTAGTACTCTGAGAACTACATCCTTACACATCAACAGGTCACTTTCAACATTGTAATCTCGTCGTGGTTTTAATATACCTGATAACGTTTTAGAGATTTCTCGTTTTTTGCCAGCCAGTGAGCAATATCCGAAGATATAATGCTGCCCGCACCGCAGGCAAATGTCGGATAAGTCACTTCCGGATATTAAGGCTCGGCCCATTTTCCCTGTCTATCGATCAACCAATCAGTACGAAAGCTGTAAATATGAAGAAGCAATTGCATTTGGAAGCAATAACTACAACTCATATTTTCATATCTTATTCATAGTTTAGTCGCATGGAAAACGCTAATTCGTATGTTCGCAATCTCGTTTCTGTTTTACTTGAAAAAAATTATCAAATTTGGCAATTCCAAGTGCCCAAAACATGATATCTCAAAAGGATTCGCATTACGTAAATAAAATCTTTAAAATGGACTCAGTATAAAGTAAATGGTTTGAGCCCGGGTGTATCGTTACATGTTTGTAGATAGATCGTCCAGGTTAGTAGAGTCCTGAGAGGATGTTGATGTTGACTGACATTTCAACAATCTTAGCAGTAGTATTTTTGACTCTAAGATGACTACCGCTGTCGAAACGTCAGTCAACATCAACACCAACAGTCCTTCTCTGGACTTTTCTAACCTGGACGATCTACATCTCCAAACACGTACTCAGTATATTGTGTACTGACGGAGTTGAGCTAAACTCACCTTCCCCACCACAATTTGGACGTGTTTTTTAAATTTCCAGTTCCTAAAAATATCAAATATTTTTTAAGTGGAGAAGTTCTTCGGTACAATGTTAGATATATAAAGTTTAACTAAAGACACCCTTACCAATCGGTTGATTGAGTAAAATCTTTAGATTGAGTTGAAAATCATCTGTAAAGCTTGTATACTTCCGGAGGTAATTAATGTTAAAATCGACTCTTTACTGAGCATGCGCAATTGTAGACACTCGGGATGAAGCTCATTCCAAAGCTCTCAATGAGAGGTCTGGAATGGTGTAAAAATCATCTCCACAGCGTGGTTTAAGTGTAGCGTAAGGGTGTTTTAAGGTGGTTTGAGGGTGGCTTCAGCGTGTTTTAAAGGTGGGTCCAAGACTTCAGGCTGCGCTTCGCTACCCTAGACTACGGTTAAACCACATTAAACTACCCTTAACCCCCTAAAACCACCTATAAACCACTTTTAAAACCACCCTTAAACCACCAGATTGATATACTCCAAGATCCCAAGATACTCTACGTACTCCCAACTCCCAAGATACTAACATGTATTTTTCTATTATTTATTGAAGAGCTTTCACAAACCTGTAAGATGGTCTCCAGGTTAACAAAACAATCATCGTCAGTTTTCATTACAAAGGAAAAACTTAAAGTCGCCGAGAGCCTATTTAAAAAGAAAAGCTGAGATGAAGAAAGATCAAAATGACATATGACGACTGATGTCGTAGGTAAGGAGATAATAGCGAGACGAATGATACACTAATGCAAGTTATTTGGGCAAAAATAACGTTTTAAGTTGATTTGACATTGCCAAAAATCGCCAGAAATTTCACAGTTGCATGAAAAAATATATAAAAAGTCTCAGATATTCTCTTACCACGCGAAAAACTGAAGCAACTGGGATGGAAGATTTCTGTAAACATCGACATTTGAAACAAAAAGAATATCAGAAATAGTTCTGCTTTCTTTGTGTAAACGTTCGTTTTCATCGTCTTTCAATCGCTGCCACTCCGACATTCGACCTTCTTCCTCTTTCGTCACGACTCTCTTCCCAGAGAATCTACGGAAGATTGCAAGTTGCTACAGACTTTAAAGAAATTTATTCATAATGTATTGCACTATCTTTTCTTTTAATATTGGGTGAGGGAATAATAGTGTTTAGCACTAGGCTTTAAACTTCAGTTCAAATTTTATTTTAAATTTTTTGAGTAAGCAAAACAACGCGCTAATGTGTGGATGAACCAATGGGAAGAACCAGTAAATAACTTGCTGAAGCCCCAAATTAATTGAGAACTCATCTGAAGATGCACAAACAACTCAACAAACCTTTCGAGTTTACACTCATAGCAACGACCAACAGAACAAGCTTGCACAGCTTTCAGAGTAATTGGCTCACTTGTTCACATATTAGAGAAATCATATGAACTTGCGCAGTCTATTTGACAAACTTTTCAATTTCATAGTCACGGCAACGACAAGCTGGATTTATTTTCATCGCTTTCTGAGTAATTAAATCGCTTAATCACATAAATGTAAGAAAGATCATCTGAGCATGCGCAGTACGCGTGGACATGCGCAGTATGTGCAAAGCCCACTTGACCAATTGTTCAAGTACTTGGTCATGGAAATGACCAACTGCATTTATTAGAATCAATTAGGAGTATATAACTTGCTTATTAGCAAATTATTAAAGATATCAACTGAGCATGCGCATTTCACTTAACAGTTTTTTGACTTCATAGTTATGGCAACGACCAGCTGAATCTACTAGCACCGATTTGAAGTAAAAGCATGGTTAGTAACAATTTAATGGAGAAATAATCTGCGCATGCGCACACTCGACTTATTGTTCATAGTCATGGCAACGACTAATTATATGTACTTGAACAATATTTGTAGCAATTAGCTCTCTTAGTCGCAAATGATGAAAGAAATTATCTGGGCATGCAGTAGTGACTTTAATAATACCATAACTTTCGTAAGCCTCTATATTTTTCTATATATATAAATCCATAAACGATAAAAGTTTCTCCAGATTTTAAATGATTTTATTGAGCTTTCGACTCGATGCTTCGAGCCTTCATCAGAATGAGGATATTTATTTACACGTGCTTTTATCTTGGAAACGTTTAGAGCGTCTAATTGGATTAGTGGGTGGATTAATGTGATTGATGGGGTGAAATGCGTTGCCATGGGTTTTGGTGTATTGTGAATATGATTGGTGTTAAAATATTAGAGTGTAGTGTTTTAGTTTTGGTGTTGTTTGTAGTTTTTGTCCTTTTCATTAGTTGTGAGTATATGATGGGTATGTCGATATGTCTGTTTATTGTGTCGTTGTCTTTACTGCACAAAGCTTTAAATCGCGTGCGTGTTTAGACTGTGCGCGTCCGAGTACTAGTTTCTGTCCAGTCGAATGTGTGGTTGTTTCCGTGGGTATGTTCTGCCGGAAGTGAGTTCGGATCTCTTCGTTTTATGGCGTTTTTGTGTTCGGTGAGTCTTGTTTCAATTTTCTTAGATGTTTGTCCTATGTATTGCTTTGAACAGTCTTTACATGGTATCATGTAGAGCGCGTCAGTTGTATCATGAATTGTAGTTTTGTCTTTATGTTTGGTGAAACATGATTTGAGTTTTGTGTAGGTTTGTGGGTGACGTTAATATTAAATGGCCGAAGAAGTCTGGCAGTCATTTCTGATGTTCCGTTTATGTATGGTAATGTGACGATTTTACTGTTTCGTCCGGTTTTTGTTGTTTGTCGGTTTGTGTTTTGTTTTTGTATTTTGTATATAGTTTTGTTTATGAAGTTTCTAGGGTAATTGTTTTTAGTAAATGTGGAGTATAAGTAGTTGCGGTCTGTTTTTTTGGCTTCTTCAGTATTACAATGAGTGTTTATCCTGCTGAAAAGTGTTCGAATGCAGCTTTATTTGTGTTGTGTTGGATGATTGCTGTTGAAATCGAGTATTTGGTCTGTGTGGGTGGTTTTGCGGTATGTTACTGATTGTGTTTCGAGGTGCTGCATGACAGCTTCTGCGAGGAAGGTGGATAGTGGTGATCCCATTGGTGTGCCTGAAATTTGTCACCAATGGGATCACCACTATCAGTCACAAACAACACAAACATCAGACTATGGAAAAGATATGTCGACGACATCTTTACCTTATTTTCATGGTTCAATCTATAAATTAATTTCACATTTCAAGTGATTTTACGATTAAACAGCACACATTTCCAGGCGCGGATCAGCTCCTTAGCTGACCGATGCATCGCGCCGAAGGCGCAATCACTAGGGGTCTGGGGCATGCTCCCCAGAAAATTTTAATTTTCACTATCCGAAAGCATTTTCCAGCGATTTGGGAAGGTGACAGAAAAATCTTAAGCGTAAATTTTATCGAAAAATAACATGAGCCGTCTTTTGTTAGATAACAGCATTGATAAAAGCAATGTTCAAAGGTGGTCTTCCAACGGTAAAAAAGATGAAAAGTTTAATGAAAGCAATGTTCAAAGATGGTCTTCTTCTAACGGCAGCAAAGATGACAACAATTATAAAAGCAATGTTGAAAGATCGTCTTCTTCCAACCACAGCAAAGATGAAATGTTTAAGAAATCAATGTTTAAACGTGGTCTTCGTCCTCTCAATAACGGCTGAAAACAAGATAACTCTCAAAGAAAAAATGTAGGTTGTTTATCAGCATTAAGAATTTCTCATGGAGCTCATCGTCAAGCATCTGTTTCTTTATCCTCCAGGATATCAAGAAATTGCATCCTCGTTGGGTTTTGTCTAGCAAAGGTATTAATCACTTCTTCGACATCACACTTAATATCATCATTAATATGCATTTGGGCTAATCCATTTAACCTTTCGTTGATCATTGTGCTACGTAACCAAGTTTTCATTCGACGAAGGGCAGAAACGGATCTTTCACACTCACATTTTTAATGTAATCCATACAATACATAAACTAAAATGCAACTAAAATCGCACCTACCCCTGCATATTACAGTTTGTATTATATTACATATGAATACAAGTATAAGTGCTGCATAAGTAATATGACATCGTGTATATTTTATGATGATTGTTCGTCGTTATCTACACGACTACACTCTGAGTCTGAAATGAGTACACTATTTACATTTAAAACATGCAAGCATAAAAGGTAATTTACTTACTTTAAAGCTCTTAGTTCTCCACTTTGCCAATGAACTGTCAAGTGCTTAGGTATTAACATTTCACTTGACATATCTCTCCCATTTTACCCTTTGAAAGGATTCCAAGGAGAGGATTTTGAAATAAAAGTAGCAGCTCTCGTTTCATAGGTTCGATGCACTCCATTAATATCAAATGACTTCTCTGAAGCAGAGTACACAGATCGTGTTTGATATTTTCGACAGCCATGACTTCGATCGATGATTGCGAGTTATATCAAGTGATCAAATAACAATGCATTCAACTTTGAAGTTCAAAGTTGAATGCATCGGTTATGTGCCCACAATCACAAAATTATGGAAAATGCATCGCTCAGCCGCAAAATCTACCGTGACGTGAGGCCCTAAAACAATGGTTTTGCTGATGTCACAGTAGATTTCACGCGGAAAGGACTCGGGACCGATGCATCGACCGATGCATCGCAAATCTACTGTGACGTGGCGTGCCTCTTCCATCTACCGTGACGTGCTGGCAGAATACTATTAAATTACTTACTAATTATGTATTCACGACAAATTTCGCTAAATTTTATCGACTTTTCTTTCGCTATTTGTGTCATGGAATACGACAAAATTATCGGAGAACACAAATGTTATTTCTAGAACAAATTTTAGCTTAAAACTGCTAAATCTATAAGTTAACTAAACAATATATCACTGTCAAATGTGCGTTTTAAACTCGAAATAATATTTGCTGTTTATTTCATTAAAACGCAAACTCGCAGATTTTAATAGCTAAATATTTTGACCGATGCATTCGCATCGGTTGCATCGGTCTAGATCCGCCCCTGCACATTTCGGATTCATATGACTTCTTTTGATCTCAAAGAGACAGCCATCCAATTTATCACGTACATGCATGTAGTATGCATTTCATTGCAAGAAGCCACCCAACCAACAAATCCGATTTTAGCAGCATCGTACCCCGAGAAAAGCCTATCGCAAGGGTCTGATGGGCAGAAGCTTGCTATTGACATCCCAAAGTTGGATGGCGCGGAGGAGTCGAAATCTCCTACAGAAACGTTAACATGCCACCTTTCAATTAATAGGGTATCGAAATGGACCAAAAACGGGATTTTCTGTTTTCAAAATTTTCTCTTCTCTTAAAGAGTAAACAAAATTAAAAATTCTCGCAAGCTTGTAAGGGTTTGAGGAAATGCGTGGGCTACAACAGGAGAGGCATACTTCATTAAAATTAATCTAACATTGAGAAGAGGCTTACCCCAACAAATGCTAGCAACAAATCCACTTTACTGCTGAGGATATTATGTTTCTTTTTCAATGTGCGCAAAAAACATCCTGTTATGAGCAACTGTTGCATCAAATTTCTGATGGGCAGAAGCTTGCTGTTGCATCTCCCAAGTAGGATAGCGTGGAGGGGCCGAAATCTCCTACCGAAACGTTAACAAGCGGCGTTCTAGTGCCTTACGCTTAAGAAGGTATCGGGAAGCATTGACCGAAAACGGGCCTT